TGGCGACATCAGCAATGGATATTACATAATAGATGCTTTTTTGAACATTTTAGCAATTTAAAAATATTAAAAAATGATTTTTTACACGGCACCCCTGCTCTCGACAGACGGCACCCCGGTTGGGAAACACTGGTCTAGATGATAATGTAGTAATAACTGCTGGCTGTTAACTGTGTTTATAAGTATTACTTGTGGGCCTATATTGAGAAAACATCTTAGTCGTTGCAGTGCTGGCCTGTAGTTTGCCATCCTTTTGCAGTTTTACCGGTCTCTTAATTTGTGATAACATGTATTACCTTCAAAAATAAATGCAAGCATGCTAAAGAGTTTTACATGCTGCGGTTATTGGTCTTAATGTATTCGCATGCCCAAAGTTATGCAACATACTAAAGGCTTAGATCTGTCCCGTGGTCTGAGATACTTGGAGAATGTGACCCTGATGCCTTCTAACATATTACATTTGTTTATTATATACAAACAGCCAGAATCTCCTAAAGCAGTCAAACTCCAGGCAAGTTCCCTTTAAGCTTTTTATACCTGCTCTGCTTGTGCATGCAAAACTAACCTGCTGTATAAACACCAATGGAATGTAGCCAATCCAAGGGGAAATTTTCAGCACGCTGGGATATTTTTGAAATAAGTAAACGCATTGCTTTAAGGGGTTTAGATGGTTTACGTTTGAATTATTTGTACATATTTTGTCACATTTGCTAAATGGTTTGGAATGTGTGCACACATCTTTAGTGTTGGATAAAACATATTAGAGAAAAACCTAGTTTAACTTGTCAGGATAGCTGGGGGCGTAGTGATATATTTGCATGATGTGAAAATCTGACATTTTAAAGTCATTTTCATATTTACCTTAGTTGTATGGAAGTAAAGAGCTGATCATGTACAACCTGAGCTGATGTCTAAGAGATGTTAAAGAAAAGAAAAAAACTAATGAAATTTAGGGTTTTTAGCACTACACATATAAAGGTCAGTTCTGTTATTTAGACCAGCAACATTCTAAACCAGCCTCATTCACAAACTGAGAAAGTATCCTTCACATATTTTTATATCGTTATCGAAGAAGGTGTACCGTCGATAAATATCGATACCGTTTTATCACCCAGGCCTACATATATTCACAGCACATTTTGTTCAGCTTTTAAATCACCCCTTGCTTGTGTGTGTTTTGTCTGTTGTGTGTTTGTGTATTTCCCTCTATGTGACATTAACACCTTTGTTTCCATGATAATGATTTGATTACAGAACGGAATCCTGTTTTATGTGAGTAGGTTGTAGTCCCTTGTTTTTTCCCATTTTCTTATATCACGCTACTTCTTTGGGCATAGGAAACTGTCATTTTTGTTCATTTTACCCTCATCTTTTATTTATTTGTTTTTACTAACGACTTCTCATTCTGCCATATAACATCTACCTTCTTAATTATTCTTTTCTGTTCTCTGTGGATCCAATTTACTATACTTTTGGGGGTGATGTCAAGTAATTTACATGTCTGTAAAACGTAAAATTTAAAAAAAATACTGCATGATGGTGCAGTGGTCGCAGTGCTGAATTCCCATTTGTCAGATCACATGTTACGCTGCTCCATCCATGCAGTTGGAAAGTTCTGGAATGTCCATTTACAAAGAGCCCTGCTACAAAGAGCAGCTTGAATGCCAGTAGTTCTTGGCATACTTTCTATAATGATGAATACCTTTTTGACTTAATCTTATCAGACCTTCATTTGCTAAAAATTACCATTGCTAATGCAATTTTGTCATACCACTTCAATGGTTAATTTATCTCCTGCTTAGATGAGAGTGGAACCTGTTATTTTCTCATAAAGCTTCATCACTAATCCTTTTTAAAACTTCATTGCATTGTTCTGACTTTAGTTACTGGTTTTCTCAGATACACCCAGATATGTTTAAACAATTCAGCATCTGTTCAACAGTTAAACATCTTGCAGTCTATTTATAGGCTTTTTATAATATTACATTTCCATAAGCATGAAAATGTTAAAGCTTCAAAATCCCCTGGACTGTATCCACTATTTTGCTGTCGTAATGGGAACAGGGTGTAAATTCACAGTGGCCATTCTCTTATGCGTGATGTGTTCCTGTCTCATGACAGCAGCAAGAACAATGGGACACCTGTCTAAACTTCCTATCAGGTGGACGTGGGCAACACTGAGGGTGACTAGAGGATGTAAGGGGGTGGATGTCCCAGATTTGTTGCTGGGGGAGCTGTGATGCAGACTAACTCTGTGATGTGGCACAGTGGGGCTTTGGGCGTCTGTCGTTGCTAATTTGAGGAGTTTCCTCTCCAACCCCCCAAAGCCTGTATTTCAGGCAGTCAGTGAGAATTTGCACAAAAAGCCTCTCATGGCTACCCAGGCTTTAATTAGGTTTGTAGGGTAGTGTATTTTTACTCCATCCAGATGATCTGCTTCTGGTTTGAAGGTCAGATGAAGAGAAATGGCTTTGCTATGGAAGCAGACTGATCATTGTTAGCCACACCATCTCAACAAAATACTGTGAAGAATACAGTAAATAAATGGTATTTGTGATCAAGATGATATGGAACTTTTGAGTTTGGAGTCAGTCATCCCACTCCAAAACTTGTGTATTAAAAAGTGGATGTAAATAAAGACCTTACTGATTATACAAACTAACCCAAGGTGATCTGCAGTATACTGTTTTAAGGTAATATATGCTCAAATGTTTGTAAAATTGGAAATGTTTCTCTTTGCTTTCACTCTGTTTACTGGTGAATAAATGGAACATTTTCACTGGGTTTCTTTTCAAGGTTTCACAAAGATTTTTTATTGCTTTTTAGTTATACACTACCTTTGAACTTTAGTTCATTTTGTATCTGTTTTTGTATGAAACTTCATTTAATCATGTATTTAAATATTTAATGTTTCTAACCAGTGACTTTTGCATTACAGGGAGAGTTAGAGCGTCAACTCCTGCAGGCAAACCCTATTCTGGAATCCTTTGGGAATGCCAAGACAGTGAAAAATGACAACTCCTCACGCTTTGTAAGTTGGTCTATTAAGTCTGATGTGATAATTCCACCTCTGTTTTTCCAACTGTAACCCTGTTTCAGCACTGGTTAGTTCTCACCACAAAAGTGGGCATGGACAGACAAAACAACAGCATCTTTGGATTCAGTTTGATTTCGCTCTCAATGAGTTAAAAGCATCAACGCTTCCCACAAATGCACGCTGCGATTCACTATTGCATGGAACAATAGTGAACATAGATTATACGTGGTTACGTAAGATCACTGTACATTAAATAAATACACACACAAATAAATGCACAGCTGTTTACATTTGCACTCTGCAAGGAAAATATAAAGTATAAGAACACGCTGTTGCATATTTAAAAACGTTTGTAGTTTATGTAAGCCATTGGTCAGTTGCATCAGGAGGCTGTAAAGATTGGTTACACTCACGGTGTGGATGAATCCTGTGTTGGAGACTCAAGGCCTATAGAAGAGAATTTATGCCACACCTAGACCACTACAAAGCAATGACAAAAACACTTTCAGTCTGTGGGCGTTTCTCTCAATTACCGTACGTGATCTCTCAGTTTGAAGCGTCTGTCTTAGGAAATCAACACATGCTGTAGTGAATAATTAAGAAAGATAAACAAAAAAAGGATTACAAAAATAGCCCCCCCCCCACCCCAAATTACAAAATGTTCTATTTTTTTCCTTCACTTAAAAATAAAGCATGCTAACATGGTCTTCTATGACGTGCAACATAAAATCTCTCAGAAGGTGTAGTGTAGTGTTTCATGACCCTTTAAAGGGGTCATATGATGCTGCT